ATTTTTATAATTCATAGTCGCTGAAAAATTATAAAAAGATACAGTGATACTAGGCAAATACTAACGTGACTTGGTTGTAATTCCACCATAATATACGTAGCATTAGTTCTGCAAAAAATTATCATTGTGGGGCGACTTATAGGAAGAAAAACAATTTCATTGATAAGCAGACTTTGAGAAGATGCAGAAAAATGTCTTAAGTTCCATTGATAGTTTCAAAATCTCGTTACACTACACTCTGGTTGGCAAAAATTACATGTACAAACGCTATATTCAGTAAATTAAGCCCATATTTAATCCTCATTATCTAAAAATCCTTTTATTTTTCGAACTCATTTTCAATCGCACATTATCACAATAAAATTATTTTGCTATAACCCAAAAAAATTTCCTACTTTTTGTCCACGCATTCTCCAAAAATTAATTATCATAAACCTTCGTTTCGAAAAAAAATGGGGTTCAAACATAGGCTAAGCTTTGAATACTATCATTAACCGTTGCAATTACGCATCAAACATTGTAATATTTTCAATAACATGGTACGAAAATGAGAGTAACTAGCTGGCTAGAAATATACGACACCATATAAAAAAGACATTATGACTCCCAGTATATTGAGGTTAGGCTATAAGAATTCTTTTCTGCCTCTCCGTTTGCTTCACTGAACATTTATAACAATGAAAACAAGTCACCACTATGTGACAATTAATTATTTTTTCAAGATTCAATGTGTAGATAAGTGCAATCAAACAACTAAAATAAAAAGAATTAATTTTTTTTCTTTACTTTTCCATCAATAAAATTGCCTTCCATAAAGTTATTAACTATCAAAACAAACATGAAATACGGTGTATAATTCACCTTCTCATTCTGCTGGTTTCCTGGAAAGAGATAGGAGCAGAACATTTCCCTTTGATCAACGTCAAGTAATGATGGGGACTTTAAAAGCACGCCGCCAACAGTGTGATTTGAAGATATCTGAAACATGCAAATTAGTTTAGAAAATAAGTTTTAATCTTCCACTTCGGGAATACATTACAATACATAGGTATTTATCAAGGATAATTGACTGAATTAATGACATAGAAAATTCAGAATAGGGTATGATCTACTATTCATTGGAATAGCAGCAGTGTAAATTGATGTGGAGCATTAAGATATAATCTTACTGTATACATAAAGAAAAAGTCACTGGTTGACCAAGTAACAACTTCGGATTCGTATGAGAAAGCCAACTTTCCTGCTTCCCGCCGTTGCTCCTGGTTCAATAATATAAACTGCAATTAGATCACTTTTATAGAACTAGATTATATAACTAGCGGAACCCAAAATATTCCACCTTTAAAGGATGACTAGTTGTCTTGAATAAAACTTCTGTTCCAGGAACAGAGTTCACATTAAGCTGTATCTTTTCCCTTTTGGACATTTTCTTTCCAGCAGGTGTCACATATTCGGGGAAATTAAACGGAATTTTCAAAGTGAACTGTCCATTGGAATATAGCAATTTTTGAGACCAACTAAATTTAACTGATAGATTGGTTCCTCCGTCGACCTGAGAAAAAAGGGCATATTAGTTTGAAAAAATAAAATAAAATAAAA